AGGAGTACCGTCTACTCCGCGCAAAGGCTATGGAGTGTGCCACCCTCATTGCTCTTGCTGTTGGCAAGGATCGGATGGGTCAAGATGCGCTCAACCTCGTTCAGCTCCTTGGACGCATCCAGAACAGCGTGTCCGAGCCTGATGACCCGCAGGCATCGTATCTGCTCCACTGCTGGGGACGCATGTGCCGTGTACTTGGTCGTGAATTCGTACCTTTCCTCGCCGGTGTCATTCCACCACTCACTGAGCTTGCCGGTGCCAAGGCCGACATCCAGTTGCTTGATGACGAAGATCAAGTTGCTCAGATCCAGGACGAGGAAGGCTGGGAACTTGTGCCGCTCAAGGGCAAGGTCATTGGTATCAAGACGAGCATTCTTGATGACAAGCACATGGCTATTGAGCTAATCGTTATCTATGCCCAGGTTCTGGAAGACGCTTTCGAACCATATGTTAACGACATCATGGAGAAGATCGCCCTGCCAGGTTTGGCCTTTTTCTTCCACGACCCTGTTCGAGTCGCCTCGGCCAAGTGTGTGCCCACTCTGCTTAATGCATACAAGAAGGCCCACGGTCCTGAGTCCCCGCAGCTGGGCGACCTTTGGAAACGCACAGTAGAGCGCGTGCTCGAAGTCTTGAGCACTGAGCCCGCCATTGATACTCTGGCCGAGATGTACCAGTGCTTCTACGAATGCCTCGAGTGCATTGGCCGAAACTGCCTGACCGACGCGCACATGACAACCTTCATCGAGTCCGCTAGGAGTGTGCTTGAAGATTACAACGTGCGTGTCAAGGAGCGTTTGGAAGAGCAAGCCGAGAACGAGGATGGCGAGGAAGCATCTGAAGACATTCTATTTGCTATTGAGGACGACCAGAACCTGCTTTCCGACATGAACAAGGCATTCCACAGCATCTTCAAGACCATGGGCACTGCTTTCCTCCCACATTGGGCTGTGTTGATTGAGTACTATAGTATGGCAGCTGTCAACCAGGACCCTACACAACGCCAATGGGCCATTTGCATATACGACGATGTGCTCGAATTCTGTGGTCCAGAGTCCTGGCAATACAAAGATCAGATCATGCAGCCACTCATTGATGGCATGCAGGACGACGTGCCCGCCAACCGTCAAGCAGCAGTATATGGTGTGGGTGTTGCCGCTCACAAGGGTGGTGAAAACTGGTCCGAGTTTGTCGCTGCCTCGCTGCCGACACTCTTCAATGTCACCCAGCGACCAAATGCCCGCACTGATGACGACATTTTCGCAACCGAGAATGCTTCAGCTGCGATAGCTAAGATCTTGCACTACAACGCGAGCAAGGTCCAGAACTGGGACAATGTTGCTGCGGCCTGGATAGATACGCTACCAATCACCAATGACGAGGAGGCTGCGCCATACGCATACGCTTTCTTGGTGCAGTTGATTGAGCAGTAAGTACAACCAATTCACGGGGGATACATGTATACTAACAACTTCTTAGGCAAAACCAAGCTGTCTTCTCTCAGCCCGCTAAAATTTTCAACTATGTGGTGCACGCCCTTGAGGCCGAGACTCTACAGGGACAGACTGCCAACCGCATAGTCGCCTCTGTCAAGGCTCTGGTTCAAGCCACAAGTACCGACCTGGCTCAAGCCGCCGCGTCTTTGACCCCAGACCAACAGCGCACAGCCCAGGCATACTTTAGCTAAAAAAAAAGGCATGACACAAAGGTTAGTTTCGACTCGACCACATGACGAAAATGAAGCACATGTGACATGTTGCATGAACGGCGTTTGATTGGGGATGTAGTACAAAAGACGAAAATGCAAGCATCTTGATGGCTGGGAGTCACACTAGTTGTGGGGGAAGGATGATGATATAGATATCACTTTTTTTCTCTATTACGGGAAAGGAACAGGGTGCCGGTTTTGGCTTTAGGGTAAGTCACATGTTATGTTTATGCACAGATTCCCCCTCCCCGCCACACACACATTTCCATTTCCATTTCCATTCCCCCCTTCCGTCCCACCATTGTCCCCCTTACCACTCCTCACACCGTGTGCGTTTATGGATAGACTGGGTTGGGCTGGTTATAGTGGAAAATATAAAAGCAAATTCAAACCATGGTTGGTTTTGTTAGTGTTTGTCTGCTGTGAATCGTTTTCCAATGTGTGGCCTTGTGATGTTTGAGATGGAGGTAACAAGCCGTACTTGGGAAATTGGGCCAGCGAGGCGCTATCTTGGATGTATGCATATTGCAGTACTACTCTTATCTGCATTGATTGTTTTCAGATCGATGAGTGTACATATAAATTTTGGCAGTTTAACCGTTGGGCTTTTGATATGTTAACTAGGCAGAATGTTGGTTGCTATTTTCTCCTCCCTGCTGAGTACACTTGTATGATGAATAGTGCCATGTTTGTATTAACCAAAGTTGGTAGTGCAAATGCAATGAGGCGACTACTTCATACATGGTTAATGTCGGTTCCTATGTGCCGGGACGCACGGTGTAACAGGACACATTTTCTTTCGGGTGCCTGGATTGTACCCACCATGCTTATAAATTGACAGGCCTAACGTGTATATATTTTGCAGTTCTTGATCTTCTAGTGTATTAGCCTCTAATACTAAGAGGCGTGTTGTTAACTATGTTATCGCTAGTTCTATTAGTACTGTCTATTAGTTAACTCTTCTCGAATACCCTTTTATTTATTTGCGATAGTTAGTATGGCTTTTAAATAGCTTAATAAGCTAGATAGAGAGCTAAGATGGTAAAGATTAAGACTATATACTTGAATAGTCGACTTGAGGTAAGGAGTGTGTGTATCCCGGCAGTTTCTCTGCGCGTACGTTAAGATTGTCGAAACGCATATGACCGGTCGTGCGTCCTGAGCGACATTTTGCAGTAGTAGCGTGCTGTGGCCAAGGACCCCCCCGGCACGGATATCCTTGCCTTGGGCAGCTCTTCTTTCCGATTTATAGGTAGCCATATTATCTGGCCCCTACTTCTGGCACAGTGCTACGGGTAACATGGAAGGATCTCTTCTTGACGCAGGCCGCATTGTGGAAGACCATCGGACAACCACATCAGAAGGTAATGATCTCTGTGGGGTAGTGATCACGTGACTGGCCTCACGCTAAGAACGGACATCTCGCACTAGCATGTGAGGAAACGGAGGCACATGACTATGCGTCTTCAGGAACATCAGAAGTTACTAGGATTATTTCGTGAAGATAGGACGATGGGACAATGGGTATAAAGGATGGACAGATTTTATTATCACACTCGTTGTGGTCAACTTTCATAAGTTCTTCTTACACAATTTGATACTTGGTTATTCTATCGCACGTAGAATTGATTGTTACTTCCGGTTAAATCTTATAACTATTTTCCACTAAGATATCCTGATAATCGCACGGACTACCGTGTTCGACCATCTCGCTCTAACCTGAACTGAGACTAGGTAAGTATAGCCTAACCTCGTGTAACACATAACTAAGGTTCGTTGTCACGCTGCGTAGACTTGTCTTGCAGAGTAGATAAAAACTCTTTAAGAGACATCTGAAGTTAGTAGGATTCACTACTCCGTGTTACTAACTGCCTGAGTAGTACTGTTCAGTACGGTGCTTGCGGGCCAATAAACGTCTGAAGCACGAAATGCGACAGCAATGCGAGATACTCGTCGCCCTGACCCTTGCCGTTCAATCCCTTATCTGCCATTTATTCTGTCTTATTCATAGCCTTTTTTGTAGCGACACAGCTTCACCCAGCCTGGTAGACTAGGCCCGATCCGGATCTGCAAGTATAAGTAGAGGCTTCCAGCCATGGTTGTTCTCTAGATTCTTGATATCCTTTAGTACTAGGCCTATAGGTGTGTATTTGAATCAAGGCTCTTCCGCTGTCCCATGCACTCCCATATACCTCTGAGTGACGCTACTGCCAATACCGATCCGACTAGTCTTGCCTGTGCTGTTACAGATTTCTAAGAGGTGGCTCAGAACCGCATTAGGGCTTGTTCGGTTGCGCGTTTTGCGGTTGCGTTTTTAATACTTATTCGGGTGTAGAGCTTTGGTAAAGGGGGGGGCTAGTTAGCGTTGCGGTTTGGCTTATCTGAACATGGATAGCTGGGTATTAAGCTGGCGACTAAGCTAGTCACCTGATCCAGCTGGCTCACTAGAACCTCCTGTACTTCTACTAAAATCATTAATTTAATCTTTACATGACCAAAAATGCTGCCCCAAATCTGATTAGTAAAACGCAACAGGCGCAACTGAACAGGCCCTTAGCTAGCCTATGAGCGGACGGAAATTCTCGGGGACGAAGCAAATAACGCACTTACAAAATATTGCTTTGTAAAGTGCAATTCGTGCAAATTATAATACAAGTTAAGTATGAAAGGCGCAAGCTACACACGCCTAAGGCTATCCAGCTATTGACTATACTTGTGAAACCCAGCATTCAAGCATAGCTAGACCGCAGTTTCTACACTCAAGCAAGATGGAAGGGCTCCCTACGCTTAAGCACATGGTGAAAACTTTACACAAGGCACAAGTACACCACTTTTATTACTTTTAAATAGGGCGACTTTTACTCACAGAGAAAACAGTACCCAGCAATCGACCCTAAAAACCCAGCAAATTCGGCAGCAGGTAAAGTTGTCTTTGTGACAGGAGGCGCGAGCGGCATTGGGTTTGCAACCGCTCGTGCTTTTGCTATCGCCGGTGCCAAGGCCGTCATCATCGTAGCTCATCGTAGCACGGAGTGTTGAATCACTCAAGGAAAAGGCAGCTCAGCTAGCTGCTGAGATACCATCAACTCAAGTCATGTCTTTCCCGCTCGACATGTCCAACGAGGATGCTGTAAATGATGTTTTTGCTGAGATCCGACATGGCCTTAGCGCGGATATCGACGTCTTGGTGCTCAGCGCCACATATATGAAGATGGGTATTCTAACCACACAATACACAACACAAGAGCTTCATGAAGCCTTGAACACCAATTTCATCAGAAACATCAACATTGTTCGAGCTTTTCTATCGACCGTAAATCTGATGGATTCAGAGTCCAAGACTGGAAAGGTAATTCTCGATATCTCAACCCACTCGCGCTACTCGCGCTACCCCACGCAAGCGATATATAGCTCTAGCAAGCTGGCCTTTACCCACTTCATACGACACATCGGGGCCGAATATGCACATACTGGGCTACGTATTCAATCGTACCATCCGGGCGGGATCTTGTCGGATGCAGTGCGCAAATTAGGGGGAGGAGGAGATTATCCTTGGGATGACGTGAGTCTGCCGGCAGGATTGGCGACATGGCTGGCGAGCCCAGCAGCAGCGTTCCTGAACGGCAGGTTTATTCTGAGTAACTAGGATGTGGATGAGATTGCTGCTTTGAAGGATAAGTTTGAGGTAGACGAGGACTTTTAGTAAGATCGTTCTGAAGATTAAGCCAGATCCTTGAGGAAACGAAATCTGCGACGGGGGGGGGGGGGGGTCCCCATTCTATTACAAGAAAACTTGTGTGTATTCTATTTCTTCTGTCTTACTACCTTTATGTATCTGTGGTATTTATAGATTTATACTATTATAGACGAGTAGAGAGTATTAGAAAAGAGTTAGAAGACAGTATTAATAGAATGAGTAATAGTATAGTTTATAATATACTAGAAGGGTAAGAGCTATACGGAAGAGAAACGGGTACCTTGCATATATTTTAGTGTAAACCCCCGCCCCCTGCGGGTTTTTGGTGAGATTGGCAAAAAGGGAGTATGAGGGGGTTGGGTGTAGAGGGTAGGCGGAGTGGAGAAATGGGTTGGGATGGTGTGCCGAGGATTCTTTGGGTGTGGGTGAGGGATGTAAGGGGCAGAATGGTGTTGTGGCTAGGATGAGGAACAAATTGACTTGTTTTGACAATGGCATAAGTGGCTTTGTATAGAGAGTACTGTGCTTAAGGTTGGAGTTGTATACGAGGTCCTTGCGTATAAAAAGTGAAGCGTTCGCTGTGACTACTGCCTCCGTTATCGCCATTAGCCCCGTAGCGGCTACCTGGCAATCACTTCGTGTTTGATTCCAATGGCTTGTGTCCTGAATGTAGTCCGAGGGATGGTATTCATAGATTACTGCAACACGTCGGGTGAGATCCGCATCCCGTTAGTCACACAAAACACCAGCACCGCAAGTCCTCAGTCGATCCCAATAAGAAAAAAAAAGCACTCGCAAACACGGGATGAACAAGCCTGATGTGCAACATGCACAAGCAACCTCGCTTGATTACAATTATGAAAAGAATTCCTTCCAGTCGCGGATTAATGCTTGAACGCGTCCAAAAGGCGCTTGGTTGGGTCCCATGGACCAATAAGCGGGGTGCCAGATACACTTACGTACCCTGTACATTCGGCGGACCTCGGCATTTTCCCCAGAGTGTGGTGCAGCTCCACCTTTTGGCGCAAGGCAGACGACATGGAGAACGGAGGCTAGCTCGCGTTGGAAGGAGAGGACCGAACCGAGGCCTGGAGGAATGTATTGGCAAAGGGGAGGGGAGGGGGGGAAGCGGATTCCATAGTCTCTAAAGTGTTCGCGTTGTCCTCGTGTTCTTTGGTCCCTTATTTCTCTCTCCTTCTTTCTCTTTGACTTCGTTTCATCCCATCTACGTATATTCATAGTCGCCCGCCCACCATGCCTCACGCAGCGCTTACACGCGAGTCTGTCGCTTCGCATAACAAACCTGACGACCTGTGGTGCATCATTGATCACAAGGTGTACGACCTCAGCGAATTCGTCGATGCGCACCCCGGCGGCTCAGTCGTGCTCGAGCAAGTAGCAGGACAAGATGCTACGACTGCCTTTTACAATCTGCACAGGCAGGAGGTGCTCGAGAAGTACAGCGAGCTCTGCATTGGCACCATTGAGGGTGAAAGGTCAGAGGTCCTCATCCAGAAGTCTGGCGAGCTGAGCCCAGTGCCATATGCAGAGCCATTGTGGCTACGACCGCAATTCAAGAGCCCGTACTTCAACGAGAGCCACCGCGCGTTGCAGAGGGAAATTCGCAAGTTCGTCGACACACACATTACACCCGAGGCGCAGCAAAAGGAGAAGGATGGCACGTATATTAGCCAGGAGCTGATTGACAAGATGGCGGCAAACGACATGCTGGCCATGCGTCTGGGACCTGGCAAGCATCTGCATGGCAAGAACCTGTTGGGCGTAGTCAAGGGCGAGGAATTTGACTATCTCCACGACCTTGTGCAGGCGCAGGAAGGCGTGCGTGCGAATGCGCGTGGGTTCCAGGACGGAAACATGTCGGGCATGACGATCAGTCTGACGGCTGTGCTGCAATGGATGCCCGAGTCGGAGCTCAAGACGCGCGTGGTGAATGAGGTGTTGAGCGGAAAGAAGAAGATGTGCCTGGCTATTACCGAGGCGTTTGCTGGTTCAGATGTTGCGGGTATCAGGACGACGGCGACCAAGACGGCAGACGGTAAGCACTATATTGTACGGGGCACTAAGAAGTGGATCACCAACGGCATGTTCAGCGACTACTTTGTGGTCGGGTGCAGGACGGATAAGGGCTTCTCCGTGTTGCTCATTGAGCGGGATGCGGCGGTTGAGACGAAGCTGATCAAGACGAGCTACTCGACGACGGCGGGCACTGCATTTGTAGAGTTCAACGATGCAAAGGTTCCCGTAGACCATTTGCTGGGCGAGGAGCACAAGGGGTTCATTGTGATTATGAGCAATTTCAATCACGAGCGCTTCATGATGGCTTGTGCCGTGATCCGGCAGTCGCGAACCGTGGTCGAGGAATGTCTCAAGTGGTGCAACCAACGCATCGTTTTTGGTAAAAAGCTCATTGAGCAGCCCGCTATCCGGCAAAAGTAAGTACTACCCTAACTAGACGGGCCCGGCAACATGGCAGCGACACGGGACGGGATAGCTGACAGCATAACCAGACTTGCAAAAATGATTTCGCACGTCGAAGCCAACCAAGCTTGGCTCGAGTCGATTGCGTATCAGATGACGCACATGTCGTACGCGCAGCAATCCAAGCTGCTGGGCGGGCCGATTGGTCTGCTCAAGTCGTATGCTACACGGTCGGCGCACGAGATTGCCGATGAGGCAGTCAACATTTTTGGCGGCATAGGACTCACGCAGAGCGGCATGGGACGGGTGATTGAGCAGTTCCACCGGACGTACAAGTTTGATGCCATCCTGGGCGGCACCGAAGAGATTCTGGGCGATCTGGGCGTCCGACAGGCCATGAAGAACTTCCCAAAGAGCATGTTGTAGATAGGGTGTTGGAAAACCATGGTTCTAGGCAGGCATGAGCGTGTTACAACTTACATGGTCGGCTTTTGTTGGGTGGCGGAACCGGCGAATGAAGGGCGTGTGAGGCGGTGTAATGTATATTATTTTAGGGTACCAGCCAAAATGGAGGCGTTCGTTGAATGGCACCTGTCAGCAGTGCCACATGCGGAGGGGCAATTTTTTTTCTTTGGTTGCAAACCTTAAGCTGGGGAGAGAGTGGCGTTTGGAAGGATTCTAGAAGCAAATTGGTAACATTGCAGGTCGAGGGCGATGCATCAAGTGGCTGGGGGTCGTCGACCTTGTTGGGGGGGTCGTGTGTTCGGGTACCAGGGATGGGGTGATGCAGGCCGGGTCCGAGCGGGTGGGTGTGCACAGGCAATGGGGAACGACATGTGTATGTAAACTATGTACCTGGCCGATGACAGCATTGGGGCTGGGGTGTGTGTGTGTGTGTGTGTGTGTGTGTGTGTGTGTGGAGGCCGAGCGTACTCGGAAAGCATAAGGCAGCGTGCATTTGCGGGTATGTAGTATGTACATAGATACATGTGTAAGTATAGTCATATTACATAGTACATGGGCGCATGTAAGGAAGTAGTCATTTCAGACGAGATGAGACGGCCGACAAGAGAAGAGAGGAACAACGATATGCAGACTATGGCCAATCAGGGGCGTGGGGTGGATCCGGTGTTGGACGACGAGGCTACGCAGATAGTGGCACACACGGTGTCGAGAGGCCAAGGCTGGACTGCACAGTCCACCGATCGCAAACACTGGCGCAGGCGGGTTCAGACGCCTCATTCGACATGAGCGGGCGTCGTGGTCGACGTGGTGTTGCTGGTGTGGGTGTTGTTGTCACAGGTACCAGGGGCGGCGAGTGAGTTGAGGCAGGGCGGCGAAACGTGTCACATGCAGAGCAGAGGGCAGGCAGGTCGGGCGAGCACGATGAGTTGTACATGGCTAAGGCCATGGGGATCATTGTGTATGTGCAGTATGTATACCGACATGTGCATCATCATGTGTGGACGCGTAGTGTCGAGTACATAGATGAATGCATGGGCGCTGTGGAACTACAGACATGCCATGCTGACATATACATGGACAATGGCGTGCTGGTAGGATAGTTAATAGGCCTAGGCATAATCATGGCCAAATCGCCTCACTCACGCTGCGCTGGTATGGATGCGGAAGACTATCGAACATGGGCCATGGCCGGCTAGTGGCACCCGCCCTGCATTCGGCGGCGAGGGAGGAGGCGAAAGAGGCGAAAGAGGCGAAAGAGGCGCTGCGAACGCTTGTCGGCTCGAGTCGTGTGCAGGCCAGGCAGAGCAGAGCAGCCCGGTGACAGCATGCATGCCATGGCCCTCTCGCGAGCCTTTCTTTAAAGAGCCCGGCCTGCGTCACCTTGTCCCGGCTCGACATGCTCTTCCTCCTCTTCCTTCTCTCTTGATCATCCTCGTCCTCGACACCGTCTGCCCGTAGATTCGCCGCGCCCACGTCATCACCTCTCGTCGCCTACATCATCCAACCTGTCCTCTTTTCTTCTACTACTGTCTCCCGTCTCTCCGCCTCTCCATCTCGCTGCCTCCAGCTCCACACCTCTCTCTCTCCATTACACAATCACCACAATCATGGCCCGTTCCTCCAGCATCAGCAGCATGAGCTCCTCCAGCTCCGACGCCGAGGAGACGATGCAGATCTTCGTCAAGACCGTGTCCGGCAACAACAGTAAGTTTCCAGCCTTCCCCCCCGTCATTCCGATAGCCTCGGAACAGCACATGCAGCATGCATAACACACTCATCCACTCATCATCACCACCGCCATCCCAACACACCCACTACCAAACAATGCCCGAACAAAGAACTGACATTGTCGCCTCGCAGCAATCCCACTCACCATCCCTTCAAACACCTCAATACGCACTCTCCGCTCCCTCCTGGCTCTGCGCACCAACCTGCACAGCCCCTCGGATCTGCGCATAGTCCACGCCGGCAAGCACCTCTCCTCGCCAGAAACCACCCTCTCCGACTACGCCATCGGCCCAAACTCAACCCTGCACCTCGCCCTCCCCCTGCGCGGCGGCATGCCCCCCAAGAAGATCCGCTGCTCCTTCAAGGACTGCAAGGATCGCGCCCAGCCCATTGTCGGTGACTGTGGATTCTGCACCGGTCACCATTGCAGCAAGCACCGCATGCTCGAGGACCACAAGTGCGAGGGCCTGGAGGATTGCAAGAAGGAGAGCCATTCTCGCAATGCCGATAAGCTCAACAGCGAGCGCACCGTTGCCATCAAGGGCGTCTAAATCATCATTATCACCACCACCACTACCATCACCACTACTACCACCTTCTCTTTGAGGCGATTGCGAATCAAGCGAGGAAGCGTGTATACCATGTCGACATGTCTTAAGTCCCTTTTTTTCGAGCGATTTGATGCGTCCTTGCCACTCATCATCTGCAGCTCTGCTGTGTTTTTGTTTTGTTTTCTACTCTCTACCATCTTGCCTTTGTCTTGCTTTCTCATTGTCCCTGGAGAGAAATCTCCCTTCTCACTGCGATATCGGAGGAATGCGATTAGTCATGTTTTTTTAACTTTCCTCCTTTCTCATTCCCGGAGCCACGGGGGCGTTCTTCTTTTTTTTTGATAATCACCTTTATATCATGGAAGAAGGTTTCTTTCTCGTCCTCTTCTAGCGAGCGAGGGTGTCACTTTGTTTCAAGTCTTGCTTGCACGTGCCAAGGTTTAGCTTAGAGTTGAATAATGATAAACACAGTCATAAACTCATTCCAAGTTCAATGTGTATGCGTGATTGTTGGTTTGAAGAAGGGTGGTGTGGTCATGTTTGTCGAGTTGCTTGTGTCTTCCGACTTGGTATGTCTACGGATACGTACAAGTTAACCCCTAGCACTTGTGTCCGCCTTCGCTTTACCTACCCTCGCTCTCTACTAGCCCCCGCCAATGAATCCACCTTTACTCTCTCTCTGTTGAATCTATAGATAACACGCCATTTAAACTACCCACTCTACATATCCCTAGCTTCTTCTAACCTCATCCATATACAAATAAAAGTCGCTGCATTGGTATTTTCATCCACTCTCTCTTGAAGTTCGCGTACCCATTTTCTCTCCTGTCTTTAAGCTCTCGTGCCCACTTTCTCTTTGCGACTTTAATTATTTGTGTCTGCTTGACGTAGTTATAGCGTATCATATTATACTTTTCTCGGAAAAGAATGGGCAGGCCACACCACACCAAGCTGCTGCAATTGGGTATCAGAACCGCTTTTTCTCTTTGAACACTCGTGTCCCTCTTCTCTTCCTTAACCTCTTGTGTCCACCCTCCCTCCCCTTGAAGAAGACGCAGTAGACAAAGACCGATAACATGTGCTCTTACCAGGGAAGATACGAGACCTTAAACTCCGCTTGATAGCTATAACTAGATAGTATACCATTATACCATCCATTCCGCCACCTATTCTGCCCATTTCCCACATCTCCCAACCCCATCTCTACCCCCTCACAAACGCCACCTCACCACCCCTCACATCCACCCTCCCCTCAATCCCCCTCGCCCTCCGCTCAAGCTCCCCACTCCTAACCCCCCCACTCCCATCCTTATCCTCGCCCTCAACCCTCATAAAAATAACAGGCAAGACACTATTCCGCCACCCACACCGCTCGCCCCTCTCCCCCACCACTATGCCCAAAAACACACACAGCGCAAGTACCCATACCAACACGGGCAGCACGGCCCAGTACCACGTCACATGCACATGAATAACCTCTTTCATCGCTACCCCCCGCACTCCCCTATCCCCAGTGAGATAAAACGGCTCGTCACGCATCGTCTTCGACAGCGCCTTCGCCACGAGATCCACAGCGCACGAGACGCGATTATCAGGGTATGCGCAGCCGGTTAGATTCGCCGTCCAGATCTGGGCGAGGGTATCGCGGGCGGCGCCGCTCGAAAACGACGCTGATTTGTATGAGATGGATTGGGAACTGAGTTGCTCGATATAGCCTTCGAAGTCGCGGGCGAGCGTCTTGACGAGGCCTTGGGTTGTGGTGGAGTTTATGCCAAAGGTCTGGCCGTCGAGGCCGTATTGCGGTGCTATGGGTGCGGTGAGGTTGGTTACGAAGGAGGGGTCGGCGCATTGTGTGGTGTCGAGGTCTTCGCAGCGCCAGGTTTTCAGTACTTGCTCTGTGTAGGGCGAGGCGCCTGTTGTGGATTGGGTGGATTGGCGGTATTGAGATTGGATGCTTTGGATGCAGGGGGTCAGGGTGCATAGGGAGGCTGTGTAGCTTGGGTCTTCTGTCCACCACGATACGCTGGATGGTGGGTTTGGGTCGATGTTGAGATAGATGGAGGCGATGCTGTTTGGGGCCGTGTCGACTTGGGCAATGCCGCTGCTCGTCATGGCTATGTAAGTGCCGAGTTGCTGGTCGCCGGGTTTCCGGTATTTGTATCCAAGACTTAGCCCTGGTCGCTTCCCGTCCTCAGACTCTGGGAGAGAGAGCGTGCAAATGCCTTCTGTGGTGTTGCATGACTTGGACACGAGGGCTGATACGTCTTCGCATGAAGCGCACATCCCTATGCTTGCTACCGCGGGCCATGTACAGTCGCCTGAGCTGCATTCGTAGCGTGGCTGGGACCAGTATTGGTTCGAGTCGGAGCTGTATAGCGCTGCGTATGCATTTTGCATCATAGCAGGAGAGGCCCAATCCACTATATCCTGTCAGTGATACGCAAGTAGCTAACGCGACAAAAGATGGGCTGAATTACATCCCAAATATACAATGGTAGAACCTTGGTAGAAAGTGTTGTTCGATACGAAAGCCATTTGTGACGCATCTGGAACGGGTCTCGTATAGTAGCTTACGAGATTCTGGATGAAAGGGTCGACACCGATACTCAAGATGATACCGATTGCACCTAGGATTGCTAGAAAACTGAGAAGCAAAAAAACATTTGGTAAGTCAACCTGGATCCGAATATAAACAAAAACAGACAAGTTACTTAAGCCCCTCAAGAAAACAGGCTTCACTGAACAACAACCCAAAGGAAAGGAATGAAGAACTCACGGAGCCTGATTCTTCATCTTCCAAAGAAGCTGCATACTTCCCAATGAGCCCCTCGATGCAGAGTCAAAAGTCTCGATATGCAGAAGCGATCTCGACCCTTTAGGTCTCGCAAGCCACGACCACTTCATTTGCCCCAGGCCATTTGACAGTAGCACCAAAAGGCACAATCGCGTCAGCGTTCCCAGCCAGGAAACCACGGCGTTGACCGAGATGCCTACCGGCCGACACATCAACTTGCCGCCGGTCGACCCAGGCGAAACCATGCAATTGCTGTCTCCGAATGTCCACGACGGCAGCGGTTTATCGTTGAGCGAAGCCAAAAGAAGAAGCATTGCGATGAGTGCTCCGCCAGAAATTACTAGACTAGCAATCTCCCATATCCACCAGTCTGCAGCACGAAGAGACTCGATGATGGTGTAGTGTCGATTTCGTCTTTCTCTTTCTATTCCCTCTTCTTCTTCTTCTTCTTCTTCTTCTTCTTCTTCTTCTTCTTCTTCTTCTTCTTCTTC